TTGGTGGAAAATATTAATATGTTTGATATTTTATGAGAGATAAATGTATCAGCGTCAAAATGGAAATGATTGCGCAGCCATTGTGATTGACCGTATGTAGTGCGCATCGAGAAAAGAAGGTGCTCTCCATTTCGCCATGTTGAATTTTTTGGTAAACTATGCCTGCTGAAAATTTGATGGCAGGGAACACATGGGACTTCAAAGGCATCGCGTAAACGTTCTTCACGAGCTGCGGCAGCTTTGATCTTGGTACATTTGCATAGCACTGCGTGCGCATAGCTTTTTTGAGTGATCTCCTTCTCAATAATACCTCCATGGTACAACGCTGTCTGAGTTGGCCTTTAGGGAGAGAGGTCTTATTTGTGTGAAATCCTGCTAGTCTACAAGACTTGAACCCTGGACCCAGGGATTGGTTTAAAGGCAAGTTCCACACAAGCTTTAGCTATAACAAAAAAAATGCTAATAACCTGTTAATATCTACCACAATAATTATAAAAAATTATTAGCTATCTATTAATGAAATTTTCTATGAATTTCACAATGAAAATACATCAATATTTACTAATTACAGTCAGTAATTTGACACACTTGTATTTATATCTTTATATATGATTACAATAACAATGTAACTTCTCTGATCTTCTTGAATAAACTCAGGAATACAGAGTTTCCATACAAAATTAAAGACAATGCATCATAAATGCAAAGTTTAATCTAAAAAAACAAATAAATTAACCAGAATGGGAAACATTATCCTGTGCCAAGTATTATGAAGATTTAGCATCTTAGAGAAAATATATAATTTGTTTCAATAGGCACTATTACATTTATCATTAGACGTTTTACTAATCTTCATACATCTTTTCTTAATCGTATGTTACATTTTCCTACTGATGCTTTCTTATATTGTCTCTTGTTAAAACTCCAACAAGCCTATATTTTTCTCTCTGAAAATTTTCTTTGCTCATCTTTTATTTATTTAATTAAATATTAACCAGTAATTATATACAAATTAAGCCAACCAAACATGCGTGTGTTAAATTCTTAATAAAATACTGTAAATTATATGTTCATGGACTAGGATTAAATTTCGGAAATTTTTCATCAAGCTATATAGTCCATTGTTGAACTAAGTCCAGTCATGCACATAATAAGAAGGTAAGACAGGCATGTATGTTACTTATCAGGATGTTGTGGTCTGAGCCAACTGGGCAAGGGCGGAAGCAGCCTCTGCTGGTGTTGTACTCGAGTTTCTGTGGACACCTTGTGAACTCTCGCTTGATAGTTCTTGCATACCTGTACCTAAGATAATAATAATAATAACAATAATAATAATAATAATAATAATAATAATAATAATAATAATAATAATAATAATAATATAATACTGTAAATAGAAATGATTTTTAAAAAATTTCTTTAGGCTCACAAGATGAGAATCACTGAGGATTGGCTATTAGAGAATATATCACTGTTCTACACATAGGGGACAATCCCTTACACAAGACAAACATATACACATGATGCCTTTCAAAGTAAATCTTAATATGACGAGGCTTAGGGCCTGTTTACACTATGACGAGAACGATCAACGATAAAAAGCAATTGTTCATATAGAAAATATTAAAAAATAAGAATATTTCACACTAGCACGATTCAATAATGATTTATCGTGTATACAATAAAAAAATAATTTTCACAAGTAAAACCAAATGATGTCATAATCATGGGAAAACCATAAAATCATTAGTAGTAAAAACGATTTCATTGTTTTCCTATTATTATGACATCATTTGATTTGTGAAATTATTATTTTTATTGTATACACGATAAATTGTTATCGAATCGTCTTATTGTGAAAATTTTAAAATTTTCTATATCAACAATTGCTTTTTAGTTATCATTCATCTTTATCGTCACAGTGTAAACAGGCCTTTAAGTTCTGGTAGTGAGAAAAACATTCCTACAATACTGACAAAAATTTTACCCAACCTAGGTTGGAAGGCAAGCATCTAAAGATATTCATCTTCACGATAATATTGAATAATAATATCACTATCAAATATTTAACTCAATTGTTTAGTTTATAAGCCTTTACATTGATTGTAGGGTTTTTCAAAAGAAAACTTTAAGAAATAAATAAGAAATAAACAGCCCTATGCAACAATTTTTAGTAAATGTTTTAAATGATAATATATATTTTTTTAAATAAATAAATAATAAAAATATCTAGAAATATTATTGTTATGTTTATCTTTAATTTTTTTTTTTAATATTCAGGAATTGACGTATGTATTTCCATCAAGTTGTAGTTTATTATTTTTGTAAATACAGTACAATAATTTCAGCTTAAAAATAAAATACAAAATAGATTTTATTACCTCTTAATAATTGGGTCTGTGTCTTTCTTTGGCGCTCTGTGATTGGACAATCCTTATGTGCCAATAAGAGTTGCTTTAGCTGGGCAATTTCATTTCTTAGCACAGTGACTTCATTCTATTTTGTTCAAAGAAAAGGGGAATAAAGGTAATCTGCCCAGAAACTAAAGAAACTGTAATTCACCTTATGTTGTACTGTAATCTACATTTCCTCTATCTGTATATCTGAATCATTAATGAAAGTGATAGTAAAATTTACAATCCTATTTTTATTGGAGCTCTACAGCATTTCAATAAAATTATGCAAATGATCAATCAGAAAAGGGCCATGAATATTTGCACATGTTCCACAAAAAGTTTACATATTTTTAGGCTGTCATTTTTTGGGTGCGTTCCAACAATATACACAGGGTGGGGCATAGAAGAATGTAAGAAATCACTAATAGACTGAATTAGTCACCAAACCAAAGCTGTTATAGTAGGTGCAACATCAAAACAAACCGCTAGGTGGCAGTTTTTTCACACAATAGTAAGCCTCCGCTTGAGTAAATTTCAACAGTTTTTAAACTCCTCAAACCTATTTGTACATTTTAATAAAATAACTTATCAAAATGCCTTGGTAAATCTTTCTTTAATAAACATCAGCCTTTTGACCCATTAGAATTGGAATGGAGTGAAATAAGCAGATGGAAAACTTGAACATGTTTGCAAAATTGCGATGTCATCTTTGGTGACTAATTTGGTCTATTGCAAAATAACACTGCAGAAAAGACAAAAAATATAACCCAATAATAATATTCTTGTAAAAGAACGTGTCAGTCTACCACAGTTTACTTATGTCTGAACTGAGACCAAAAAATATCCCAAAAAGAAAGTGATTTGATTTTAATTAAAAACTTGTTTTACCTGGAGGGAGGTATTAGTAGTTTGAAAGTCTTCAGCTCGCTTTTCAAGATTTTGAATATAATGTTTCCTTTTATTCCGACACCTACTTGCTGCAGCTCGATTCCTCTCTAAAAATTTCTGCCTCCTTTCATCTCCATCATCATCCATACTCTTTCTTTTTCTACTTGGTCTACAAAATAAAAACAATTCTCATTCAAAATAATACTAAATGATAATAATAGTGGATATTTGTATAGCGCCGGCATCCATCAAACTTGACTTTACCTGAATTACTATACCCCTAAGGGTCTCTTTGTGTCTTATCGCGTCTACATTGTACAATGCTGTCTAAGTTGCTCTTAAAGGGTCTTAGGAAACAATATTAAGTAATAAATGTTTAATTTATCAGACTGATACAAATACAAGTGTATGAGGAGTTGAATACTATCTAATGTTTCTTTTTTTGTGTGTGTGTGTTGCATGAATGAAAGGCTAGGTATAGGTATGAGGATGAGATGCATCCTAGGAAGGTGGAGGAAGAGAAAGAATCAGAGAAGTAGAGGACGGCGAAGAAGGTAGTGGAAGTAGCAGATATGGAGCATGAGGGAACGGCAGATTAAAGATGCAGAGATGGAGAATCAAGAAGTATAGGCAGAAGTGGGTGCGAAATACAAAGGGGCAGACGAGAGGAGCAGAGAAAGAGGCAGAAGAGGAGCAGAAAGCTAGGAGGAGGTGTATCAGCAGGAGGAAGAGGCATTTAAGATATGTCAGGAGGATTAGAAGGTCAGAGTAGGAGGTGTAAAAGATGAAGAATCAGGAGAAAGAGGCGAAGTACGATGCATAGAACTAGGATTAGAAAGCAGAGAAGGTTTAAATAGCAAAGATTGAGTAAGACGAAATGGCAGAGAAAAATGAGGGATAGCAGAGAAAAATGAGGAAAAGAGAAACAAGAGACAGATGATGAGGTGTGAAAGTTAGAGAAGGAGCAGAATAGCTCGTAGGCAGAGTATGAAGCAGAGAAGGAGGAACAGGAGGCCAGAAGAGGTGTAAAAGGCAGAGAAGGAGTGGTTGGAGGAGAAAGGTGAGAGGGAAGTCATGCTACTTACTCATATGGTGATGTTGGGCTTAGCTGCAAGGCTTTTGCTGAGTCTACAATCTGGGGATTCTGTAACGTAAGAGCAGCTTTCAATCGCTAGAAATAGAAAACAAAGACATGTTATACAAAATATATGATTATATAGTTTAATAGCTTCATGAGTATATAAAGAACCTAACTTTAGGCAGATTCGTTTTCAATTATGATAAAGCAGTAACATTTTACTAAAATTTTAACATTAGCACCTACATCATCAGTAGTGTTGTCCTTATCATCAATGCCAACCCCATTGTTGCCAGTCACCATCATCGTCATTGTCACCATCATAACAATATCATCATCACCACCACCATCAATTTGTTTGCAAATTAGTTTAAACTAAAACCAAAATTTCACATTATATTAACTCATCTCAAGGTTTACTGTACTCAATACATACCTGCTTTACCCCATTGGGGTCTAAAGCATTACTCGGCAAGATGTTAGGCTGATCACCCCCGCCCACAGGGATAGCATTGGGCACATTTGCTGTACCATCAGCAACAGAAGGGGGTGGAGGAATGGCCACTGGAACTGTCTGTCCATTCGGTAGCCGTAAAAGAATTGGACCAGCAATTAAACCAGTACTAAAAAAGTAAATAAAAATAAGGACAATACAATTTAGAGAGAATATTTTACTTATTTATTCAAATTATATTTTATTAGCTAGCTATTAGATGTGTATAAGAGACAGGTTCTACACATAGGGGACAATCCCTTACACAAGACAAACATATACACATGTGTTACTTTTTAATTCTTATTTATTATCAGGATTTTTCATAATTCAATTCAAATTGTATTTATCATCAAATACCACTTATCTTCCTAAAATCTAGCTGGTTTAGGTAAGGGTAAATAAAATTAGGTAAATAAATCAAATATTATGTAGGTATTGTTGAGTCTAATTTTATCTGTCTTTTAATTGGCTAATCTACCTAATCAACGAAAATAGATCATGTGCCATACTGCGTAATAACTCCATGAGGTCTCTTAAAATTTAATAATCATGACACAGCAAAAATGTACTTTGATATCATAAATTGCTGAAATAGAAACAATTACCTCCCACTCAATAGTAGTACATACGGTATGAAAGTAAAAAAAAAAAATGACAAGTGTTTCATCTTTCAACTTCCTGAATCTATTCTTAGCTGATGGTTATCAACCTTATTCATGTACAAATCAAAACACTTAATAAACTACTACATACACATAGCCAAGTGCAGTATGTGTGGGTGGATTCAGGATGTTTACGCAGGAGTGTGCTAAGCTGCAATCAAGTACATACAATCCAATTGGGGAGGGTTGGGGTTCTTCTTGTGAATGCCCAGGGGTGTAGCCATACTAATTTCTTTCAAACTTGAATAGATGTGTTAAATATGTTTTGATTGAACTGTTCAGATATTTTCAAACAAGATTTAATTTTCCAGAAGACATTTTTTCCATACCAACTTTAAGTCTTACAGGCAATATTTAGTATCTACTGTATATATTTGTATAGATTTATGGATTGATTGGCTGAATGAATATTTTTATTATTACATTAGATTAATTAATTGTTAAATAAAAGGTCAGAAGGACAAAGATAGTTTTTGAATGAACATCGAGGACCACATGCAAATTTGACTTTTCCGATTTGCCTTAAATCATTACAAATTTTGAACACAAATGTTTTCAATTATTATAAATTACTTTTTGATAAGTACTTTTACTGTTGATCAGTGGAGGGTTATAATGGTGGGTTTTTGAAAGATAGGAGGCGGCCCGCATCAACAGGGCTTTTAAATTACTTTTAAGAACTGCAAAAAAAAAAAAAATTGCCAATGGGTCACATATAAACCAAGGGCACACTTTGCCCATGTGTGTATTAAACTTAATAAATATAGATTAGTAAATTCTTTTCATATACATACTTCCTACATTTCTATTTAAATCTTCATCAGGCACTAAAGCTGGTGCTTGTGTGGCGTTGCCAGGTAATGTGTAGCACAACGTCCAACAAACCCATCTGCTTTAGTACCTGATGAAGATTTACTGGAGAAAATCAAAACGTAGCAAATACATCAAATAAATGAGGCTTGTCAACCCAAAACCAGCGTAATGTTAACCTGAGTAATCAGCGTAAGATTGTGGCAGTATTGTATGCATTACTACAGGGAAGATGTAATACTTTTACTCTTAACTTTGGCAATAATAAATCAGTTTCAATTAATTTACCTATCATTTTAAAGCTTATGATGTGGAGAATATGAAAATAATAAAAAGTTAATTTTTTTATTTTGGCTACTGATGCTGGATTTGGCACGGCAAACCCCAAATTGGTTTTATCAAAATGATTTACTAAGTTATCACAATAAAAACCAGATGAAGTTTTTTGAAGATTTAATAAAAATGCGAAGACATACCCTCCTCCTTGAGGAAAGATCTGAGTAACAACACTGGTTGAGCTTGTTATAGCCGGCGCAATAGATACGGTTGGACTCATCACAACCACCTGTGGACTCTTCAAAACTGGTACCGTTTTCGCAGTGTCCCTGCTAACTGTTGGTGCAATGAGAACTGGTGTGGCGGACTCGACAGAAGTACTGGTGGATAGGGAAGGCTTTCTGGCTTTAGTTGTCTGATTACTAGTTGCCGGTGTCACTTCTTTTTGTGACTAGTAAAAATATTTAAACAACCGTTTTAATGTAACACAGCATAATAGAATTACACAGTATGATGATGATGAGTAGGATAACAATATTAAATAATAACAATAAAAATAATAACTAGAGCATTCACTCCACACATTATTTTTGGCCCCCGTGCCTGAATATTGAACAATATGCATGCTGTGTATGATGGGCCATTCCATTATTTTATTTTTAAATATGCTCAGGGTAAAAAAATTAATCATCACTTTCTTCAAATATTATGTACTGTTCCACTAAATTTCATAATGATCCATTCATCAGTTTTTGCGAAATCTTCCTAACAGATTTTGGACATAGGTAATAATAACAACAACAAATTAAATGTACCTTTTCTTTGTCAATGGCATGAGAAAACTCGTTATCAAATGGATTTTCAAGATCATTGAATAAACCAACTTCTTCACAATTTTTCAAGAAGCGCGTGGGTGTCGGAGTTTGATCAGCTAAAAAATGAACAAGGAAAATTTGTTTAGAATTGACCAGTACAAACTTGACATAGTTGCTAATACTGCAGTTCATCGGGTGTAAGCCCACCCGCGCCAACCCCCTTAAATTTACACCAAATTTTAAGTACCAGCCTTTCCTTGGGCAAAAGTCCAGGGTATAATTAGAATATGTAGCTTAGCTGACTTTTATAAATACTGGCTTTGAATTAGACTTGCAGCACTGAAATATTGACTTTTGATTGAAGAGGGCATTTCACCAAATATAAGTTTCCCACCACCACCCACTCCCCACGAAAAAAAGAAAAAAAAAAATCGGCCCAATTTCGTGTTCATGGGTGTGAGCTTATACAAGGGAAACTTCTATGGCAATATGCCTGTACCAGTCTATACACTCTTGTAAATGTAAAACTGAAACTGGACCTCTGTGAAAAAATATTCTCATACACACTTTCGCAATCTGTAGTTAGCCCTTGTTACTTATTCAAGCATTAAGACAATTTACAATAGCGCCACCTGGATTATTACCTACCGATGATTGGTGTGTCGAGGGATTTTAAGCCGCCGCCAATTACTAGTTTCATATCATGCTTCTTCTGGTGGACTTCCAAATGATCTTGGTTACTAAATGTCTGTCAATAACAAAAAATAAAATTAAGTTCAAAATTCTAAACAATTCTAACAATTTTAAATAATTATTATTTTAGCTTTACTATCATTAGTAATTTTAAAATCAAAATAAATATCTATAAACATAATATAAACACTATTAGTTATGAACAATAACCAATATAATATAGTTTTCTATAGCAAATATTACTGTACATGTAGGTCTAAATGTGCTTTAAATACTATGAAAGTAATCACATCAATATGCCTATGAAATACACACTGAGTTCTCTTGGGGAATCCCGTAGGGAGCAGCTGATAGCAAATCAGTTTTAAAATCTACAGTGAAAAGGTATTAGGTGCTACCATCCAACTTATCCTCGCAGGTGAGGGACAACGTGGATAAAGTGCCCTACCCAAGGGCATTAACACGGGGTCAGTCACACACTAGAATTGTTAATCTTTTGATAATCCAAAGCTTTATCAATAAAAAAATATTTATATACAAAATCAATAAATCAAATTTTAGAAAATATGTATTGCTAAAGTTAGATTTGACAAATATTATGGTTTTTTTTGGCAAAATTGTCAAAGAAATTTTAATTTAAGGACATAATAATTTGTCTAAATATGAAAGAAGTCTAAAGGAATCCTGTATGTGTATGGAAATTATATTAACTTCCAGAGAAAAGAGTATCACTAATTATCTTCTCAACAGTACAGGTAGTTAAATACTGAAAGATAATATCCAGCTGATTAATACCTCAGTCGGCTGCATGTTTCTGGTATAGTAAATACAGAAACAGCCAACTTCGCTCTATTTTAATTCAAACTTAGTTCCTGTTGTTGTTTCTATTTTTAGAACTTGAGTAGTAAGAAGATCTCAAACCTCAGTTTGAAACTAACAATAGATTGTGGTTGGATGGGATAATGAGAAAAAGATATAAATAAAAAGGGAAATGGTGAAAAAAACAATTAGGCATATAGTATGTGCACCCATCCATTTAAGGAATTGGTTTTGAAAGCATTATTTACATGTTACATATTATAGTTTTTGAATTAATGTGATGAGGAAATCACAAATTTGGGTTTTCACAAAAGGGAAATAAGTTGTAATCTTTAATAGAGTGCTCTATTAAAAGTATTTTAATTGTAGTAATACATGGGCAGATCCATCCATTAATTTATAGTATCATTACATTTTCTAAAAATTATAAACATCTGAAGTTGACATGTTAAGTAAAATGCACCCCCAAACAGAAAATTTTAGGATGTCCCAATATCCCCTAACCCATTATCAATGTTTTTGTTGTTTTATATGTTGTTAGTACAAGGATAACAAGACATTTGAGTCATACCTTCTGCTTATTATTATTTACTAGCCTTCTGACTGAAAACACTTACAACAAGGATCTATTTTACAAATGAGTTAATTAACATGTGATCATGGATTTAAACCATACCCAAATCACTCCCTTCTTCCAAATAAAAAAAAAAAATAATAAGTCACCCTGCAATTATAAATACCTCTACTTTGATAGCTGTTTTACTTTTCACGAATATGATACAATTAAAAAAAAAAACAAAACAAAAAAAACAAAAAAAAAAAAAAACACCAATTTGCCTAACAATTAAAAAAAAACAAAAAACAAAAAAACAAAAAAAAAAACACCAATTTGCCTACTGTAAGACTACTTACCAGTTAATATTATTTTTATAATTATTATTATTATTATTCCTATTATTAATATTATTATTATAACTATTATTATTATTACTATTAATATTAATATTATTATTATTACTATTATTATTATTATTATATAAACTTTATGGCATCCTTTTTTATATCAAAATTAGTAGTTCACTGCATTTTTTTTAGTTTAATTTTTTTCATTTTTCGCCTACCTTTTGATATATTAAAGTTACATTTAATTTGGTGAAAACATGTTTTTGAGGGCAATGTGTTCATTAAAATTGTATCCTATTTGTACAATCAACTGATGAAGACCACTTTGTGTGGCCAAAGGCTTGTGTATCAATAAAATGTGTCAGTCTATAAAGTGCTGTTTACTGTTTATTATTTGTAATATTTCAGAAGTAAAACTGTTTTTAAATGTCCATTGTTCTTATTTTTTAACTATTGAATATTTTAAAATCTTCTATTTTATAATTATTTTAATTACTGTATAAAGTTAAGATTTGTATATATGAATTGTTTTGAAAGAGGGTCTCTTCAAGACACAATTTCAACAGATGTTAGATAACAGGGAGTAGAAAGTTATGAAAAAAAAAAACCCAAAGTGACAGGATTTGAACCCAGGACCCTGGAATTGGAAGGCAAACATCCAAGCTTCACTCTAATTTACATTTTTCATTATATATTTTTAAAAAAAGCAAAATATATAATCTTTGTTTGTTTTATTTGAAAACTTCCATTTCTACTACTGTTTATGTCAACCAGGATTTTATTTCCCATATAACTATTTTGTTTACTATAAAAACCAACAGGTTATTTGTCTAGTTCAAACAATATAAGCCAAGACAATACTGTGTATGTTTTGCTGTCAGCATTTTTATTGAAAGTACAATTACTTTAGTAAAAGTAGAGTGTTTACATATTACATGTTTGGGAAATTCCCTTTTAGTTTACTCATGTACAAACATCCCATATTCCAACAAGAAGATAATTGAATATGATTTTTTTTGGGAAAAAAACCTAAGATACTACCTAATTAATTATTAAGACTGAATGTAAGCTCACTGTTAATTATAATTATTATGTGTTTATTTTATTTTTTTACTTTACAACTAAACCATAGACAACAGAAAAACTTTACACAAAGTTGTGCAATAAATAGACAACAAAGAATGTATTTTGAAATTTTGTGCTTAAAGATATATTGTCCCTTGCTAATGTCAAAAAATCATAAAAAATAATTTTGAAATAAACTTGCTCATATTGCAATAGCATACAATTTATTAACTTGTGGATAAAAATTATTGAATTTAAAATATGTGTACCCTGATTTTTAAACCTAAACAAATTTATAATAAAAATAATAAAATGCTTCCAGTGACTGGAAGTGTTTCATTCATGTTTTGCTGTAAACTGATTGGTAGACATTTTTTAAATACACTAATTTCTATGTTGATAACTTTTATGTTACTTCAAAATGGGTAAGTACACTTCAAAAAATATTTCTATGATTTTTTTTTCGGTATTTTAGGCATGAGACAATACATCTATATAAATAAAAAGTAATAAAAATACAATAAAAGTAAATCACAGGCATAAATACTTAAAATCTATAGTTTGAATACAAGTAGTATTAATGAAAATACTGATAAGCTTACAATCATAAAAAAAATATTGACTGTATTTATGTAATTAAATTTTTTTCTACATACTGTAAATAGGCCTACTGTAGACATCATCAGATATGAGGTCCCAAGTTGTAAGAAGTCACTCCAAGAGAGAATGTACTGCGTTCTTTATCGTGCAAATGGGCCATACTGTACATGCACACAGGACCAATGGAAACATCTCATCCGAAAAACGGTGCAGTATTGTAACTTGTATTTCAGCCCTCCAGCTGAAAAACAAGGAGAGGCCGCGATGGGAATTGAACCGGAGATCTAGAGATATCCACGGTTCAGGGAACAGCCGACTGAGTAAGCTGCTCTATTCTTATAACACATCTAACTTTATTTTGCTGCATTGCACATGGCGATACCCATCAGCACTCAGTTTTCCATGAGACAACTGATAATAAATTGGTGAAAACATGCAAATATCATGAATTTGCAGAAGATTGTTATTTTTCGGAGATTATTGCTTGCTTGCAGGAGTGCTGGAGAATATTTCGATTTTGACTTCCACAACTTTAGGGAGACTTGGGAAGGACCCCCCCCCCCACCTTGGGGTGAAATCAGCATTTGGTATCCAATATAGAGGGGTAAAATGAAGAATATTTTATATCTACCATAGGGCATCCATTGAGGCCACAAGCAAACGGTTTGCCAGAATCTCCCATGATCTGTAAAAAAGGATAAAATGTAAAATGTAATTAATGAAAAACAAGAAACAATATTAACTAGAACATATCAATAATATATTAATATTATATGCCAAAATCAGTTATTGTTTACATAGTTTATAAGCTATATGTTTCCCACTGGCACTAACACTAAATTAAAAGTTATGAAAGCATTAAAAAAAACATCCGTAGTGGAATTAAATAGCTTGGTGGTAGATCCCAAGGCTCAAACCCTGTTAATCAGTGCAAGATTTCTTTCTCACAACCAAAATAAACTCCACATATAAATTAAATAAACCATGAAAATTAAAGGAGGGGTGCGGGGATGAAACAATTTATATTTAATATAAAATAGGGGGATGAGCTACCACAATGTGATGGTGATATCACTTAATTTCGGAGCGTGGTATTCGAAAACAAGGCTCATGAACTGAGTCCCAAAAAAAAAACTGGTGCTACAGGATTTTGAGCTAGTGTTAAAAGATAGGTAATTTCCTAAAATGGACCGACTTTCAAAGGCTTGCATTCGAAACCCCATAAAAAATTGTGTCAAACTTTAGATACTGTATTCCAACGTAAATTTGACTGTTCTTATAATTCATATGGGTTTTCACTTACGAAATGTCTCAATTATGTATAAAATAACAGTTTGCCCCAGTTTTTATTTTGTGAATTTTGTGCTAGACAGGAGGTCACAGGCCCGTAGCCAGCTTCTTTCAAGGGGTGGTTTTCTGGGCATGAGGTCCACGGTCAGCGAAACCCCCAATGCAAGGGGATTTTTGTGCTTTATGGGTCTAAATAATGCTATAAAAGCAGATATGTTTGAAAAGGTCTTTGGGTGGGTCTGCAGTGCATTAGTTGGGTTGGAGGACTTATTTGGGAAATTTGAAGAGGGGGGTTCGCCAAAAAAAAGTGGGATTTGCTAGAAAAGGGGGTTCTCTCGAACCATAAAAACCCCCCTTGGATACGGGCCTGGGTCAGCTGATTCACTCAACCGTAACAAGCTGGTAACGACACAGCCAACTGATGAGAAAATTCTTTGCGTGGCGAGAGAAAAATTGAAAAATTGGGACTATGGTGGAAAACATTTAATAATACTAATAATAATATAAGTCGATTGCATTTTTGAAGAATGAATCTTTCCAAAAGATCTGTTTGCTGGCTTGGATATTAGGAAGTCTTGGAAGTAGTGATCTTTAGAAGTGGCATTAAATAGGTTTGTTACCAGCTTGTCTTACCTAGGCATAGCCTAGCGTAGTGCAGTTACTGTATGTAGAGAATACAGAATACAGTACTACTGTGCTCTACTGCCTGGCACGACCTAGGCCCTTAGTTTAGTCATACAAACTATAATAAATTATTTAAAACATTAGACAAACAAACAACACTATTTTAAATAAAGTACAGTATTGTTAATGATTGATCCATGGAACTATTCAAGGGAAAGGCGGCCTAGGCTTGGCTAGATATGTACAATAGTACATAGGCCTAGGCCCTACTACTTTACTAAAATTTGTCGTGGAATGTGGATGATGATACCTCAAACACTAGCTCAAATTTGCATGGAAAATGGCTAGGAAAAAGGTGCACAGAACTTAAATTATGCATGATATACATTGTATTATATTCAGATTAGTTCAAAACAAATTTTCCGAAATGGGCGGGCAGATTTTCTAGGCCCAATTCTTTCGTTGAGGATACATTCCCTGCACACAGTCTGAGTTACTAGGCTTCTTCGACGGGGGCGGGGGGTGTGGACCCATTGTCGGGGAGCTTGGACCCCTCGTCGGGGAGCTTGGACCACCCTCGTCGGGGAGCTTGAACCCTTCGTTGGGGAATTCCTGGTGCCGCCCCTGGAATAAATAATACTTAAGAGATTAAAAAAGTTTGAGTGATCAATTTTAGATTTGTATACCAGTAGAAGTTTGTAAATCAGGCGCTTTGTCGCTTTAATTAACACAATTTATTTCTAAAACTAGGCATTCTTCATCTGATTGCACCTTTCATGATCCTTTCTTGAATTTACTCTTTGATAAATAAAAAAAGTAAATGCATGCAGATGTTTTTGCAAAAAAGTTTTTACTTGTACTGTACGGGTAGTTAATTATTTCTATGAATTGCTGACGCGAAAACCTGGGGGCGGGATTTACTATTTTTTCAAGTGCATACATTAAGCTTAGTAATAGTAGCCTACTACTTTAATAGTAAACCACCCTAAAAACAATCAAAACATAGTAACCCAGGGTTACGGAATTATTAGGAGTTGTATGGTATTGCTAGTTTCCCTATTTTTTATCATTTTTCTAGTCTACATCACTTCATACTTACAGTAATGTTAGTTTATATTCATTTTTATTTACTTGTGTAATTCGTTTGTTTTTAGAATAATTATTCAAGGCATGTACAGTATATTACTCAGATGTCATGCTGTACACAATATTTGTACTTTACTTCACATATTTTGAAAATCTTTCACAATGAACCATTAAAAATGATAATTTTACTAATTAATTTGATTAAATTTAATTTAATTTAAAATTAACTTACGGTACATGAAACAATAAAAATAAAATAATTACATAATAAAAAAATAATAAAATAAAATTAAATTATATTTTAATTTTATTTATTTAATTTATTATTAATTGATTAATTTAAGTAATAAGCAGTATAGGTTTAACTTTAAAAAAGTTAAAAACTATACTACTTTTGGATTAATTAGTAAAATTATCATGATATTTATCATGATCGTCCATAACACACACATTTTAGTAGGCCTATGAAATGAAGATACAAACTATTAGTATGATCTGAATGAAAGCAATTTAAATGCACCATAGAATGGTAAAATTTGGAAGATTAGCGCTACATTTACCTCCGTTTTTAGCCACCTAGATTCAGTATAAAGACCATGAGCAGAAAAATAGGAAATATGACGGTGAAACCGGGGTTTTCAAATCTTCCAAAAATTTTCACAAGATCAGGGGTTGTCTTATAACAAGTATTATAAATAAAATATTAATAAATATTAATATCATTAAATATTAACATTATTATTATTACTATATTATTACTATTATTACTATATTATTACTATTATTATGTATTTTAAACAACTATTTTAGAGCTTTTTAATGGCTGTCTATTGTACATACAGTACTCGCACTGGGTGCCTAATTAAATTAGGCACTTGTTAAATGCAATCCTACTGTATACAGGTTTTCCCCCAGTAAACACTAAACTTTGTCTTTATTATGTTTGCAGATTGTTAGAAAATGATGTTAACACAACATCATAATGTTATTTATGTTGTGAAAATAAGAAGGATTTGTTATACATTAATAGGCTATTTCAAAAAAAAAGAAAAGTTTGTACTATTGTACACCAAACTGTAAGGTTAACATAAAAGTAGAATTGTTACCTTAGCCAAGTCCTTTCAAACTAATTTCCCTTAAATATTTTTATATTTTAATTGATAGAAAAATGACACACAACAATTCTCATTCAACATTATACAGAATATTCAGTATGTATTCATTCAGTATTATACATAAATAAGACCAAAGTTTGACCCTTTTTTTAAAGTTTCTCGAAATTTAGTAGGCCTAAGCCTACTACACAAAGTCAGATCCATCCTAAAATAATACTAGTACTAGGGTATAGTAGTAGTAGTAGTATGCTGCGGTTCTCTTCAATATGTAGGCCTTCCCTACGTTGCAGTGTGGTAAACTCGCTAGGTAGGCTACTCAACTTAGAACGGATACCAATCAATGGACGCCATCATGTTGTTCAAACTGTACCTCACGGTATGTATGACAAAAACAATTACATATTTAGAGATTTCTTAATACTAGGCCTAAATATAATGTGTTTTCGGTATGAAAGCAGTAACAACATATTCTACACATTTTGTCAAGCAAGATGTTGTGGTAGTCACATCATTATGCGAAAATATTCTTACCCAAATCTGGTGTAAAAACGAACAACCATTCACAGTGCTAAGAGATGACGAACACTGGTATTTCAAGCCATATGACGTTATCAGGAAATGGGAAGGGATTTTTTCATTGACGTCAGGGGTTAAAGTTCATGTTACAAGCAATCTGCTCTGAGCGCCACCACATGTTTGAAAGGCGTGGAAAAATGTATTGAAGCATGCAGTTTCGCTGTTGCAGGCAGATATTTTTCTCTCGTCCGATATTAGCTGAGTTTTGTTTGATTTATTGTTCAAAATTTAAACACGACACCAATCCTCCTGTTCTCTGCATGAAGTCTGCCTAGACTAAACCTTATTTTACAAGCTGAGAAAAGCTACGTAGCTAGCTTGCGGTCTGTCCACATATCCAATGACATCCGGTGGTGGTGATAGGTTAGTGATTTGTTGTATTGTAACTTGATGATGTTGACAGGCCTGGCCCTGGTCACTAGAGAGGCTTAGGTAGGGCCTTAGTTAGCTTAAACCCTCTAGGCCAGGCCTAATGGTCTATTATATTTGAGTATAATTGAGGTCAATGTTTCAATTGAGTTGCTTCAATCTTCTTCAGGAGAATTATATTTACACTGTGTATTATTTATATTATTGTATTATTATATAACTATTAATTGTTATTGTTGTGATTGTTATTAATATCATTATCATTATTTATGGTTGTTAATATTATTACCTTTTAATAGAAAAGGGAATGAGCTAAACAAGTACTGCATAGTATGGGGTTAACTAATCGACAAATTGCAGCGTTGGTAGTGACAGTGCCGTTGTCGGCATTCTTTCTTTATTTGCTGTTTAAGAAACAAGATGAAGGTAAGAATATCAAATGTGTTGACAGACTTTACAAACACTCATTGTAGAAATTACATGGAATATTATTTTCCCCCTGACAATCTGTTAAGCTTCCTGCCGGGAGGTGTGGGTGGGGGGTGGGGATAACCCAGTCCAGTGGGGTGCCAGTATAATCCTTCAAATTCTTACTTAAATACGTTGGAGCTTCACTTCATTTTTAGACCATTTTTGCCGTATAAAGGTGTGTGTGTGCTTATGCGGGCTCACATGACCATTAATTTCAAAGTGATGTGAAAACAGTTGTAGTGGTAAGAAGAGTGTTTTCCACACTACCAGCCCTGGGTTCAAATCCCAAGGAGTCTACAGTACTTGTTTTTTGGGTTTTTTTTCTTTTTCATTATTTTTTTTTATGGGGACAATATGCAGGGGAAATTTATACTAAGGAGAATTATGATGTGGGCGGAGGTATGCTCTCTCCGAGTGCCCTCTAGGTGTTAATATTATATACAGAAATATAATTGATTTATTTTTTATTACAGAAGATGATTTTCCAGAAAACACATCAAAGAGTGTTGCATCGGGGCAGCAGACAGTTGTAGAAATAAAAGTTCCGGACAGATGTGCTTCATTTATTATTGGTAGAGATGGGGCAAACATCAGACAGGTACAAATTACAATAGTGTAATTCCTCATTCTTTTTTTGGCATTCCAAACAGAATTAACATCTTTGATTGACAGATAACTGTAATTAATTACATTTTCACTGTAATTAATTACATTTTCACTGTAATTAATTACATTTTCACTGTAATTAATTACATTTTCACTGTAATTAATTACATTTTCACTGTAATTAATTACATTTTCACTCTAATTAATTACATTTTCACTGTAATTAATTACATTTTCACTCTAATTAACCCCATGTCTGTTCCGGAATAGAATCACTAGTGAGTCCAGGGGAGATAAATTGTATCATTTTAGATTGGCCCAAAATTGTGCTTTTAGACCACAATATCAAGGATTGGCAATCAACTAATTTATGTGTGTATGTACATGCTTGTCCAACATATTAACATTTGATTTGTAAGTTTCAGACATAAAACATGTAACAGAAACATGTATACAGTAATTGTATAAACTTCGAAAAATTGCTATTACTTAATAAAAGATTTTTCGTTTTCATCTTAAGTCTGATCGGCTAAATGCTATAAACCCAGGTGACATTGTGGCCGCGCCGTTCCAACATGATGATAATTGGTATCGAGCGAAAGTTGTTGGCTTCCTGGACGATGGTCTTGTAGATATTTATTATGTTGATTACGGAGACAATGGGAGTGTACATCACAAGGAATTGAAAGCACTAAGGTGTGTAGGGACATAGTTAATGTTCAGCCCTTTGTTTTCAGTGCTTGTTAAAATACAAAAATTCTGATCTCATCATTTTGATTGACACTAATTTGCTACAGTTTGTAAAATTGTTCATGGTGAAATATAAAAAATGAAAAGTTGCAATATAGGTAGTTATATCTGGTTTTCACAAAATAGCCCTATACAATTTCAAATGCTGCAAGCAATATAAAATTACACCTATTAATATTTACATACCTTGAACCAAAAGCTGTAGTATTGCAGCCAGGTCATGTTACAGTACTGATAGTAATAATAAATTACAAATATACTAGATGGCACTCTTAGAGTGTATACCTCCGCCCACATCATAATTCTCCTAAGTATAAATTTCCCCTGCATATTGTCCCCATAAAAAAAAATTGGATTTTTGAACCTGGGCTGGTAGTGTGAAAAACACTCTTCTAACCACTACACCAAACCGTTTTCATATATATCACTTTGAAATGGTCATATGTTTGTTGACACTTTAACGGCAAGCCTGTATTAGCACACGCACGTCTATATGACAAACAGTTATACAAGGTTTTCGATCATTGTGTCCTTGACCTTTGACCCTGACCCTTCAAAATTTAGTCACTTCCAGATCTTTGGTACATTGTGGCCAAGTTTGACAAATTTCTGATAAAAACTGTTTCAAAAAATTGTTTCTTGTTGATTGCGACCTTGACCTTTAACCCTTACTCTTCAATCTTTGGTCATGGAACATTGTGACCAAGTTTGACAAGTTTGTGATAAAAAATATTGGCTGTAGACAAATAAATTTTTAAAAATAGTTTTTTGTTGATTGTGACCTTTGACCTTGACCCTTCAAAATTTAATCAGCTCTAGATCTTAGGTAAAGGAACATTGTGGCCAAGTTTGAATTTCTGTTAACAATATGGGCTGTAGGCTGTTGACAACAAATATACCGACAGACAAATAAATAGCTAAATAATAAACCAGGCGAAAACATTAAACCTCCTGCCAACTTTGTTGGTAAAGGTAATAACAATATTAATAATAATAATAACGTGATTATAATAACAATTTAAACATGCTGTATTTGTATGTTCTAATTGAAGATTTATACTATAATATGGCAATTTTTGTAATTAATTAATTTTTTTTTCCTTTCCAATATTTAGAAGCGATTTTCTAGGTTTACCGCATCAAGCTACGGAATGTTGTTTAGCAGGAGTCCAACCAATTGGTAGGCACCTTTATTGTTGTCTATTTTATAAATACTTATACAGTGGTGTATCTAGGGGTATTGAAATTGGAAATGGGGGTAGAGGAGGGGATTACTTAGGAAAGGTATTTCAAGTGGCTGGTCAATTCAGGTGTTTAAAGAGAGAGAAAAATAGGGGTGGATACAGATTTTTCTGTAAGGGTAGGTCATGCCTACCAACAATTTTAGATTTTAATACTACCTCAACCCCCCATGGATATGGTTCCACATGATACAGATGTGGTTGGTAACTGTTCATAGGTCTTTAAAACGTTTTAGGCCAACATATTTGGCTATTATATCAATATTATAAAAAAGTACAAGCTTGCTGGTAACATTCTAGGAGAGAGGATGCTAACATCAGTTTACCCATCTCCCTCCCACCAATACCACCTCCAAATTTTCCTCTTAAAAGTACTGTAATCAGTTTATGGTAACAGACCCACAACACAATGATCACAACCCTTGAAGTTGTGATCACATTCACCAAAAAACATTTTGAGAAATTTGTATGTAATTTAATTCTGCATGGTTTCTTTTTCAATCATATGTTTAGTCTTTACCATCCTTTAACTATCAGCATTTCAGGGTTTTTCCCAAATTACATTTGATATTTTTTATTTCTATGCAAGATGGATTATGGTCCGAAACTGCAATTAATACTTTTGAGGAACTCACCTATTGTGCTCAGTGGAAGCCTCTGATGGCAAAGGTCATGTCATACAAATCTACAGAAAATGGTACCTTGCCATGTTTAGAATTGGTTGATACCAATAAAGAAGAGGTGAGTTGATAGTATTTGTAATTTTGTTACCTGTTTGTTTTAAGTACCAATTGCTATACAGAACCTTGTTCTTATATGTTTTATCTTTTTTACTTTTACTGTTTTTTTTTAATCTGTTTTAAGGTGTCCTTGTCTCTTGTATTTTTTTCCTCCACTTTACCTCTGTTGTTTTTTTTTTATTATATATGAGATTATATATTCATATTTTATTATGTATTTTTAATGTTAAACTTCAATTTGTAATTTCAAATTGCTATAAAATGTTATCTTATTTGTATTACCACTTAAGGCATAAATGCTATGAAGTGGACTGTCCCTTTAATGCACAATATTTAACCATGCTTTTCATTCTATTTTATTTTAAATATTTTACAGGATGTTTTAATCGCTTCCAAGATGATAGAAACTGGTGTTGCAATAAAAGAAGTAAAACCAGTAACAGAGGAACACACATTATTCCCATGCGTGGACGATACTGCCAAGATGATACAAGAAGCACCGGAATAAGCTTACCTCTAATGTTCTACATTATGCCTAAAAAAAAACTTTTGCCGTCATCCACAGCCCCAAAAATCCCTACAAAATTAGAGGCAGGTTTTTTTTATTTCCAAAAAAGTTTTTTTTTTTAAGTTTGAAAGATCAAATGAAAACCACTTTTTCCTCGATTTTGGGACTGATCCGTGTTATATGGAAATTTTTATTGTTTTAATTTTTTTTTTTTAAACAAAAATATGATCGTTTTTCCATGAAAAAATGACAATCTCACAGTTTTCACTATGTTTCTATGATTTTACGAAAAAAAAAACTTTTTTTCCATCCGCCCCTGTATTCAAATTTTTACAGTGTGACAGCAAACAAATTTTTTTTAGGCCTTATTATTAAGAAATTTTGCTGTTCCTTGAATTTTATTAATTTTTTTCCAATTTTAGTTGGCTTAAGTTTGGCGAAGTTCGGAATATTATTAAAATATTCTGATCCTAAACAACATTGCTCAATTCATGAATGTAATAGCCACATTTACACGGCAGATCATTGTGATGATTGCGTTTATCTGATGATATACATAGGTGTTAAGTGACCGTGTAATTGGTGTCAGTAACTCTGAATAACGGATCAGTAACTGCAATAATCTATAGAGTTACCTACTTATTGCAGCGGCGTTAACAGACATCATCATCATGATCTTTATGCAAATTAGCTGTTGATTGACCCGTGTGTGTCATCACAGAATTCACTGTTGATTGACAGCGTGAATACAATTATTATTTCCAGAAATGTTTAGAAATACAGCAATAGTAGTTAAAAATTATGTTTTCATTCATTTTTTGACAAATGGTTTGAAAAAACGCAGCAGTGTGCGTGATTTTCAGGTCAGTTTTAATCATATGACTTCCTGGTACAACCGATATTTTTATCATGTAGACGCTCGACTGGAGATCATCGGTGTTACTTACCTGATAGCAACGGCTGTGTAAAAATGGTTATTGACAATAATGTTTTGTCTTTAAATATCAAACCTTGAGGAGGGAAGGTGTCTCAGTCTGTAGAATTCTTGCCACAGTCAGTGTGTATAACTATGGTGTTTAACCAGTAAACCCTGGGCCTGCCTCCATGGCATATGGTTTGTTTTGTAGTTTTCTCTGAGCATGGTCAGGCATGCTATTTTACTTGGTGGCATGTATCTGATGAAACTCATTGCCCATGGGCCTCGGTAAAGTTTAGTGGATTGTTGAGTCTGAGTATGGATTTATTTCAGATGTAGTGTTAAATCATGGTGTAACCAATGAAACCAGGGCCTAGCCAACTTTGGCAGTATTGTTGTATTGGATTCAGTGGTGGATGTGTGGTTGGATACTGTAGTGTTATAATAGCAATATTCGGAAAGTGACTAATTACACATGAACATTTAAGGCAGAGTCGGAATTTTATCATTTGCATTCCAGACTTCCAGAAAAGTATTACTTATACATATTGGGATGTTGCTTTCAGATAAAGAAATTTAGTTTGTTTTATCTTTTGAGATAAAAGTCTAGACATATTTATGGGTGGGGCCCCATCTTAAGTCTGCCACTATATAATCTGGTCAGAAAAATGCTGAATCAACTTGACTACGCATCAATGTAACATTCCACGTTCTCTTATTTCCAATCCACAGCCACTCCCCATTTTCTCAAAATAAGGATCTGACAGACTTGCATTTTATTAATTATTTTAAAATAACGTTTGTATCACTTTGTAATACTTTTACTACCAAAACCATAGCATCGTTGAGGTTGCACATAATGTATTAAGTCTTCCTTTTTTTTATACAGGTAGGCCTACTTGCAAATTCATCAAGCAAAATACTTTTTATGGAGTATTTGACTCAAGACTACACATCTAAGTCGAATTCAAAATGGCATTGAAATATTGTTCGACTTACAGATCGTTAAATAATGGAAAACAAAAATTTGTCATTTAAAATAAGATCGACTTTTAAAATATTCGACGTAGGCAAGTTTAAATGTTCTAGAAATCTGGATCATACAATACCTTGTACATTGGTGAAAGTCAAGCTTTATGAAATACTTTTTATAACATTTTTATCACTGTGTTTTAAAACTTTACCACTCAAACATATAATCATTGAGGATGCATGTGTATTTACGTCATTGGTAGGCATAACGTGAGGATGGGTAAAACATTATTTGTTCTGCTTGATGTTAAGGTTTTCTTTGCGTATTAAGGAAAATTTGTATACATATTAAATTGACATGTTTTAAAATATCTGTGATAGCAATGTTTTGATTGGGCAGTGGCTCGTCAAATACCATTCTTAACATCGACACTATTTTCCATAACGTATATTGAGTGCGATAAGCCATCTGGTCTCGCACAAGTCTAGGAAAACTGAGAAAGCAGAACCAAGGACTTATAACTGTTACCAGGATAGGAAGCTGGCTGGTTTAAGTCGTCTAATTTGAATCATGGAGTAATAAATAGAATATTTTATTCCTCCATGCTTGAATTAGCCATATATGCGGTATTGTTATGCTAATGACCAGATAAGCACAATCTGCACATGCTCAGAAAAACAAAACTTTCCTTAACCACACTGCGTATCAACTAGCTAAATAAGCGTAATAATTTCACTTGGCATGCAAATTGATGCAATTTTGTTTTGTAATACAGGTAATGAACATCACATAAGCTATAGGCCCGGGCCTAGGCCATGTCTAACCGCTTATAAAAATGCAGAAAAAAGACCCAAAACAAATTAGAATGAAGTTATTAACTAACTAGTGCATGAAAATTATTCATATACTTACTGCTTACCTATAGAAAATTAAAATGTATTGCTCACAAACGACAATATTTTTTATTTTATTATGCCTTTTCCGCGAATTGGTAGACATCTAGAAGTGATGATAAACAACTTAGTTAGTGGTGCGAACCAACGAAAATAAGATAAACTTTTAGGCTAAATTCTTGACCACATGTTATTTAAAAATTCATTAATTCCATAACGGAGGGTCGTATCACATTAATTTTTCCTGGGAAATTTTCTTAAAAAGACTATTTTTCACGACTGTAAAAAATTAGTTTTGACCTCTGAAAGAAAAAGCATATCGAAATAGTGTATTAGAAATAGAATAGGCCCGGTAATGTTGTACTGAATAAACACAAACGAAAATGGAAACGATAGCACATGATGACATTAGAGATTTACGAGTATTTCTGACACACTTGTGTCCTTCTTCATCGTTTTCTTCATCGTTTATAAATGAGAAATACAGAACAGATCAAATAAAAACTGTAAGAAATTAACCAAGATAAACCCTAATGAATAGGCACACAATTAGTAATTGAGAGTGGTGGTGACAAACAACAGAGCGAGAAAAGCATCTGAACACGCTAAGGCCCCATGGAAAAATTAGTTTATCACCCCATCAAAGAATGATTTTTTTCAATCAACATATTTTTATTTCAAACAGTCCTTTTCCATCTTTTATCACTTGAAAAGCTCAGGATTTCTTGAAAATATGTTTACTGGTACAACAAAAACATACTTTTGAAATTTGACTCCGGACCATTCTTATGACTTTTTATATATGTGTCCCTAACCATTGATTTACTTGTGAACATCGGCCGACGTCTTTCCAACCAGCTGAATCCACGTTGGGCCGATGGAAAAACGGCCGTCGCGCCAACCTTTGTGTAAGTACGTTGTGCCAACGTAATTTTTCGACCTTCAACCAACGTCGGGTCAACGTCGCTTGCTAGCTGGGAAGCTGGCTGGTTTAAGTCGTCTAACTTGAATCATGGAGTAATAAATAGAATATTTTATTCCTCCATGCTTGAATTAGCCATATATGCGTGATTGTTATGCTAATGACCAGATAAGCACAATCTGCACATGCTCAGAAAAACAAAACTTTCCTTACCCACACTGCGTATCAACTAGCTAAATAAGCGTAATAATTACACTTGGCATGCAAATTGATGCAATTTTGTTTTGTAGTACAGGTAATGGCCATGTCTAACCGCTTATAAAAATGCAGAAAAAAGACCCAAAACAAATTAGAATGAAGTTATCAACTAACTAGTGCATTAAAATTATTCATATACTTACTGCTTACCTATAGAAAATTAAAATGTATTGCTCACAAACGACAATATTTTTTATTTTATTATGCCTTTTCCACGAATTGGTAGACATCTAGAAGTGATGACAAACAATTTAGTCGTGCGAACCAACGAAAATAAGATTTTGAGGCTAAATTCTTGACCACATGTTATTTAAAAATTCATAATTCCATAACGGAGGGTCGTATCACATTAATTTTTCCTGGAAAATTTTCTTAAAAAGACTATTTTTCACGACTGTAAAAAATTTGTTTTGACCTCTGAAAGGAAAAGCCTATCGAAATAGTGTATTAGAAGTAGAATAGGCCCGGTAATGCTGTACTGAAAAAACACAAACGAAAATGGAAACGGTAGCACATGATGACATTAGAGAAAATTACGAGTATTTCTGACACACTTGTGTCCTTCTTCATCGTTTTCTTCATCGTTTATAAATGAGAAATACAGAACAGATCAAATAAAAACTGTAAGAAATTATCCAAGATAAACCCTAATGAATAGGCACACAATTAGTAATTGAGAGTGGCGGTGACAAACAACAGAACGAGAAAAGCATCTGAACACTAAGGCCCCATGAAAAAATTAGTTTATCACCCCATCAAAGAATGATTTTTTTCAATCAACATATTTTTATTTCAAACAGTCCTTTTTCCATCTTTGTCACTTAGGATTCTTGAAAATATGTTTACTGGTACAACAAAAACATATTTTTGAAATATAAATTTGATTTCATTCTAATGACTTATATATCTGTCCCTAACCATTGATTTGCTTGTGAACATCGGTAGAATGGGGCGAGATTTTTATTCTTTGATAGGGTGATAAACTAATAAAAAAAATTTCAAAATCTTAAGATGTCATCAAAAATCCCAAGCAGTTTTCTTTTCCCGCCAGATGAGCTTGTAGGGGGGGGGGGGGGGCAAATCTTATCTAAAACACTTAAACATGAAGGTCAAACGTGAAGTCGATAAAGCGGAACTGTAAACAAAACGAAGTCTATTCCGCTGCCTTATACCAACACTGAACAGCCATTGTTTGTTGTCATTACATGTACTGTGCTCAGCTTCTAGAAGTCTAGTACTAAGGAGAGGAACCCAAGTAACAGGCAAGACTGAAGTTTATTAGCCCAGCTAGAGGGCCTAGCTTAGAAGACTTAGTCTTAGGCCTGTATGTAATTAGTAGAGTAGACTAGACAAGGCCTACTGTAGGTTAGAGCAGCTAAAAAAGATGAAAGGCCCTAGGCCTAGTAGGGGGCTGGCCCTGATTTTAAATGTTTATTTTATATATTGGAAACCAGGACCTACTTCTGCTGTCTACTACTGGGCTGGGCCATTGAGGCTTTGTTGGGAATTCAAACCCGATTATAATGAAACAACTAAAAGAGCAATTAGTACGATGCATGGCATGTAAATTATAACAGAGATATATGTATGTAGGCCTATGCATGCATATGATTATATATATATATATATAT